GGGATGGGATGGGATGGGATGGGATGGGATGGGATGGGATGGGTGGGACAGGAGTGAGATGGGATGGGATAGGACAGGGATGGGGTGGGATGGGATGGGACAGGGACTGGGATGGGATGGGATGGAGTGGGATGGAGTGGGTGGGACATGGGTGAGATGGGATGGGATGGGACAGGGGTGGGGTGGGATGGACAGGGATGGGATGAGGTGGGTGGGACAGGGATGGGATGGGATGAGATAGGATAGGATGGGATGGAATGGCCATAACAGTGTGGGGTGGCATGGACTGCCATGGTCTGGCACGGCACGGCCATAACAGCATGGGATGACATGGCATGGCCACAGGGTGGCATGGTCCAACATGGCCATGACAGCCTGGGGTGGCACAGTCCAGCATGGCCACAAGAGAATGGGGTGGCTTGGTGCACTGTGGCCACAGCAGTGTGCTTTGGCATGGTCTGGCATGGCCATGATAGCAGGGCAGGATCCAGCATGGCGTGGTTTGGTCCAGCGTGGCGTGATTTGATCCAGCACAACATGGCTTGGTCCAGCCAGCCCGTCATGGCTCGGTCCAGCCTAGATGTCCACAGCACTATGGTATGGCATGGTGCAGCACGGCCATGACGGCATGGCTTGGCCCAGCACAGCCTGGTATGGGCCAGCAAAGGCCTGCACAGTTCTCCAAGCATGGCACAGCCCAGGACAGCCCATTCTCCCTCCCTGCTCCCTGGTCCCAGCACTCCATGGCCCCATGGCTGGACTGCAGCTGCATGAAGGGGGTGCTGACAGAGCACAGGTGCCTGTGGTGCTGGGGGGCTCAGCTGGGGCCCTCTGGATGGTGCTGTGGGGGGAGCAGAGGAGCCAAGGCAGGGACGTGGCATTGGTGGGATGTGCCTTTATTTCGGTGACCTGTGGCCCATGAGGTGCCAAATCCCCGCTCCCCACCCCACAAGTCCTCAGTCCAGAGGCCACTCAGCCGTCCCAGGCGGGGGCCCCAGCGCGGCGCAGGGCCAGCGGCCCCGACTCGGACACGGGGGGCGAGTCGCTGGTCCGTGCCTGGGTGAAGACGCGGTTGCGGGTGCCGAGGAAGGTCCCGTGGCCGTGGCTCCGGGGGGTGTAGGGCCTGCGGTGGCAGCACCGGAGCAAGCAGAGGGGGTTCCTGAAGACCTCCTGGAAGCCTCGTCGGAAGTTCTCGTTGAAGTAGCCGTAGATGATGGGGTTGGCGCTGCTGTTGAAGAAGGCCAGCCAGTGGGCGAAGGGGTACACGTAGACGATGACCAGGTGGAGCTGGCCCTCGCTCAGCCACCCGTAGTCCGTCAGCAGCAACAGCGTCCAGAGGGGCAGCCAGGAGATGGTGAAGAAGAGGGCGACGATGATGAGCATGTTGATGACCTTGGCCTTCCTGCGGGAGATCCTCCTTCCCTCCGGCTCCTCCCGGCCATGGGCAGGCGCCACCGACTTGAAGAGCTTGAAGGCGATGCGGGCGTACATGACGATGATGAGGGCGAGCGGGGCCACGTAGATGTGGGAGAAGAGGACAGTTGTGTAGATCCTCCTCATCCCCGTCTCGGGCCAGGCCTCCCAACAGGAGTAGAGAGGGTAGGAGTTGTTGTAGGTGTCCACCATGAAGTGGTGCTCCTCCCTGGTGACAGTCAGGGTGATGGCAGCGGGGCACATGATGAGCAGGGCCAGCGCCCAGATGATGGCGATGGTCAGCAGGGCTTTCCTCAGCGTCAGCTTCTGCCGGAACGGGTGGACGATGCAGCGAAACCTGTGGGAGGGCAGATGGCAGTGGCTTTGGGCACCTACTGGGACATCCCTGGGGAAGGAGGACAGCCGGGACCCGGGGGTGTGAAGGGAGGGTGAGGTGGGTTGCTCTTTACATAAAGCTTTTGGTGGCAGGGGTGGGTTGGGGTGTCTCCAGCTTTGGTGTTTTCACGGTGGGGAAGGACAGCTTGCTGGAATGCCCCATGGACAGCTTAGTGGTCCTTATGGAGAGCTGGGATGCACTCCTGACATCCCCAGGAGCTTTCCCGTGATGGAAACCACACAGGACACCTGAACCTGCTGGAGGCAGTTGGCCCCACATTCCCACATTCCCAAGCCAACGTACCTCTCCACGGCGATGGCCACCAGTGTGAAAACGGAGGCGGAGACGGACATGCCCTGCACCAGGCCACTCATTTTGCACATGGTGTTGTCAAAGGGCCAACCTGTGAGGGGACACCGTGGAGGTTGTATGTGTCTTGGGCTTGGCCAGCTCCCTTTAGATGTCCCCATCCACTGTGTTGTTGCTGGGGGATGCTAAATCCTGCTCCTAAGGGGGAGTTCATATGGACATGGCCTTTTGCAGCACAGATGCTTGGAGAAAAAACCCAAAATAGGTAAAAAAAGGTGCATATTACACTCTTAGGAGCTCAAGGAAGATGGTGGCTGCCATTTCTCCTGCCCTTGTCTAGGGCTTGAGCTGTTATCATGGGGACCTACCTTGGGATCCTCAATCAGAAGGACTTTCATCTTGTTTCTTGACCCCAATGCCAAGGCAATAAATATATCCCGCCCCATAATCAGTAAACACAAACTCTGCCCTGTGGCCTAGCTGCCACTGTGGCTGAACTCTGACAAATGTCACCCCTTATCTTTGGAAAGGGCAACGGGCACGGCTGAGCCATCACAGAAGAAGATGGGTGCAGGAAGAAAAGGGCTTTTTTTCAGGGTTGCTTGATGAAGAAGGGCTGAACTTTAAATAAATATGCAAATGCAGCATTAAGATTATTTTGCCAAAAATAGTCAAAACCTCAAAGAAAAAAAAAAAAGGATGTTTCCCCCCTAAAATAGGAGCTCTAAGTGAAATCACACCTTTCCTCAGGTGTGGTTGAGTGGCCACCACCTGCCCTTCTCATCCTCACCAAAAACACCACCCAGGGCTTGGCCTCATGCGTGGGGGGCAGAAGGTGAGTGGGGGATGTTCCTTCCCCCCACCACTTTCTCTCCCCTGTCCTGTGCCTCGCCCCTCCACTGCCCCGCTCACCTGTGATGAGGTTGTCCACCAAGGTGGTGGGCATGCAGAAGATGCCCACCAGCAGGTCGCTGATGGCCAGGTTGAGGAGGAACATGTTGGTGACCGTCCGCATCTGGCGGTTCTTCACCACGACGAAGCACACCAGGATGTTGCCGACCACGCACATGAGGAAGATGAAGGTGTAGGCCAGGATGAACATGAGGGCCACAGGGGAGGAATGCTGGTAGTAGGCCAGGAAGGTGTAGTTCTCCCTCAGGAGGTGACTGTAGCTTGTGGTGCCGTTTGGCCACCAGGTGCCACTGGAAGGGCCTGGGGAAGGGAAGGCAGGAAAATGAAGCTGGGAGAGGGTAAAGCAATTATTCCCTTCATTTCTTAATGCCCTCAGAAGTGGGCTTTCATGTTTATTCCAGTGCCCAGCCTGGCTGGGACACATCCTGTTGGGATCATCACAGTGACCCAGCAAGCCCCGTCCTTGGGTTGCGCAGCTCAGGGTACTGCAGCACGTCAGGTGAATCATTATTTTATATCATTACTTTTAAAATCATTCTTATTTATATAACTCTTTTGATGAGGAATTAGAGCAGCCTAGAAGGCATCCTGATCACACGGGGTTTTTTAGGGACAAAGCAAGGAAATAAATCCACATCTTGACATTTCAGTGCTCTGGCCTTATGGGAAGCTGTATCCATGTGGCCCCCGTCATGGCTGGCCAGGGAGCATCCCTGCTCCCGAGTGGCTGCTGCTGCTTCTCCTTGTGCTTCCAAGGTTTACAGTTTGAGATTCCCTAAAATCTTATTCTCCCTGGCAAACCTGCAGTACCTGAGGGAGAGGGACTGGGGTAGAGGAGACTTTGCCCTCCGTTTAACATATAAAGCAATAATTATGACTCTGATCATTATCTGGGAGCTTCTAATGGAATGGGGGATGGAATTTTGTCACTACGGATTTAACAGCGAGCGGGTCTGGGCAGCTCCCACCCTCGGGTTTCCCCAGCGTTACGAAGGCAGGGACGCGGGAGGATGCCGGGAGCAGCAGCTGCCTGCAGTGGTGACGGGACTGACTCCGGGAAAACCCAGCCTGCAATTTTAAGGGAAGAAAAGGCATATTTTATCTCTAAGGTTCAGCCTAACTGCCTGCAGGTCAGCCCTGCTCTGAGAAAGCCTCCAAAGCCACTGCGTGATGGGCAGCTGGAGCATCCCCCCATCCCTGTGCCGGTGCCGGTGCTCAGCTCGCCGACCAAGGTGCTTTTCGAGCCACCGGGACTGCCTTGGCTTCTCCAAGGCTCCTGCACGCAGGAAGGGCCCCTCCAGCCCCTATGACGGTGTCCGGGGCGCAAGATTTGGGCAAGATGTTTCCAGCCGGGCTTTAGAAAGGTGCTGGGCGGGTTTGCAGCCCAGGGACACAGGGGAAGGAGCGTCTTGGAGAGGCAAGAAAGCAGCGGGACTGGGGGGCAAGATTCTCCAACCAGTCTGCACTCACATGACCCAGCTTCGTTAGCAGGAGCAAAGACTGTAACGAGATTGCCCAAAATGTACAATATTAACCCCAAAACTTTGCTGGACTTAACCTTTTTTGGGCTGCAGTGCAGCATTAGCGGGAGGTGGGTGTCCTATGGAATTAGAGGTGGTTTTAAGAGCGAGGTGGAAGACGGGGAAAGGAAAATAAGGGGTGGCTGAGCACCCAGGGTTGGTGCTGGATGAATGGGTGGATGGATGAATGGATGGATGGGTGGATGGATGGATGGATGGGTGGATGGATGGATGGATGAATGGATGGAGGGATGCAGGCATGGAAGGGGGTACCGGGCAGGGGGTGAGGGACCGCTTGCCTCCCTGCCCGGCTGTGAGAAACCACCGCAGGAAAAGACTGGGCTGATGGAATAGGGGGCTGGGGACGGGGGGACGGCTTTTGTGGGGGGATAAAATGAAACAAACCAGGTCTCGGTACTCACCTCCGCCGGCCCGACCCGGCTCCGGGGGCTGCATCGCTGGTGCGCGGGGGCTCCCGCCGGGGGTGGGGGGCAGTTTTGCCCCCGTCCCTCCCCCGGTTCCCCGCGCCCGGTCCCGAGCCCCGGTGCCGCTACCGCGGAGCCGCTGCCGCGGTGCCGCCGCGCCGCTTGCGGCTGCTCGGGCTGCAGCGGAGAAGGGGAGGGGGCGGCGGGGGGACAGCCTCCCATCGCCATGGATACCACCGGGGGACCCACATGCAGCCCCCCCATGGATGAGCCAGCGCGGAGACCAGGAGAGAGAGGGAGCAGCTTTGCTCCCCTGGGAAGGGTCGGGGTCTACGTCCCCCTCGCTGCCTCCGAGGTCCCCACGCTGATGCTGGCAGCTGATGGCCAGTGTCCCCAGCAACGCCGGGGCAGAAAACATGCCAGGAGCCACAACGCGGGTGGGGAGGATCCCCCTCCATCACCCCATGCGGTAGGGAAAGGCAACACGATCTTTAGGGATGATGGTCCTGACTCCAAGCTGCTCCATTATTCCCAACATCAACAACCTGCTTCTTACCATGGTCTTCACCAAAGTTTGGCAAGTCTAGAAGGATTTACAGAATTAACCCGTCCTGGCTGGACACACGCCACTGGGAAGTGTTTGTCTCTTAAAAAAAAACACCAAAAGAGCAAAACAGGGAGCTGTTTAAACAAACCATTTTGAGATAACACCTGTGGTTTCTCCCAGGAGTTTGTGTTTTTCCTTTTTGCAGGCAGCTGCTATTGGGACACGGGTGTGCTTGGCAGTGGCCTCCCTGCCACCGAGGAGCCGCTCTCTCCAGGACATTTCTTCCTGGGAGAGAAAACAGCACTTCCTGAGGACCGACAGCCCCGAGGAGATGGGTGCACACACCTGGGGACACCCACGGGGTGAGCAGCGTGTGGGAACCTGCTGCTACTGGTTTGCTCCGATTTCCATGGTGGAAAAAAAAACAGAAGGAAAACAAAACAATCCTTGGAAAACCAAGGATTTTGCCAAGGAAATACTGCTGAGGTCTGTGCAGAATCCAGCCGGAGGCTGCAGCGAGCAGCTGTGGAGATGTGCTAAGCGACTTCTTTGAGGGGAAGACTGATAATTCAAATTGAATCAGACACAAACCCCCTCGGTGTAACAGGAAAGCGTTTAATCAGGCACTTGGCACACCGAGATGTCGGCAATTCCAGGGCGAACCCTTGCGGCCCCGGGGATGTCCCCCACCATCCCGGCTGCTCCCCATCGCCGCCCAGGCAGGAAGGATGGAGCCGAATATCCAACTTCCCCCGGCTTTACCCAAACCTCGCACCGCATGCGCTGCAGCTCCTCTGCATCCCCCGAACACACAAGCGGGAGATTCCCTGGCTCGGGAGCCGGCAGAGCCATCCGCTCACGGAGGAGCCCCGCTGCTCGCTTTTAATTAAAGTAAAATGAGGGACTGGCTGCCTCGCCGCAGGTTTGGGACAGGAATAGGGGCGCAGCAGGGACTGACCTAAGCCAAACCACTCCCGTGGGCAGTCGCCCCTCGGGACAGCTCGCCTGGGCACCCCGAGACCCTGTCAGGCTTCAGGGATGGGCTCCTCTGGTGACAGCAGCAGGTCGAAGGGGACGAGGGGCCGGACGAGCAGCCGCACCTCGGGGCCGACGGGGTTGTCCCGCAGGTTGAGGCTCCGCAGCGATGCCATGGACGCCAACTTCTCCGTCGGCACCTCTGCAAAGACAGCGCGGAGCTGAGAACCCGTCCCGGCGTCTCCTGCCGGGGAATTCGGGGAGGCGGAGCGGGGGAAGCTCCTCTCGATGGACAGCCTGGAGCTTAACCTGCTCCTGCCGCTCTGCAGGCTTTGATCGCAACAGAAACGTAATCAAATCCTAGATTATACGGCTACTCAAACAAATGGTTATGGGTTGGGCTGGATGATCTTAGAGGCCTTTTCCAATGATTCTGTCATTCCGTGAAATGCCTTTGCGAGAACACCATGATATTCAATGTGGACACTGCCCTCCAGTTCTCCCAGTCCTAATAAACCCCCTGCTGGGGCACTAAACTGGTGTTCAAAGACTTATTCCCTGATTTTATTCCCAGTGTTGCAATGCCCAGGAGCCTTCACCAGGCTAACAGGAGAGCATGTGCTCTTTGCCCTCTTTGGACAGGCTGCAAAATGGCTCTTGGCCATCAACAGGAACCCTCCTATTTTGCAATTTCCATGAATTTGGGTGTTTTCCTTTAGAAAACATTACATTTACGAACTTAACATTAAGAAAAGGTGCAGTTCTCCTGGATGGTCCCAGTGTGAATCCACTGACGGCAGAGGAGTGAAACTGATACAAAACCCTAACCATTTAGGTCATTCAAAGGTGATAGATTTTTTGTTCCAAATCACAATATTTTGGGCCCGCCTGATTTACCAAAACAAATTTCTTCTCAATTTGGTCACTAAAAGACCAAGAGCCTTTTTTATCCCAGCTCCCATTTCTTCTGCCAACACCTAGAGCAGAACTGTGGTGTTGTAATTATAGCTGGATGATTATGTGATTTTTAGACCATGAAACTTGCTTTATGCTGGAAAAAAGCTCAAACACTTCGATGCCTTTGTTTTTTCCCTCATTCTCCTCCAGAAAACAGTGCTATTTTCCATACCTGTATTTCTTAGCAGCTCATCTCTCATCAGGCAGAGCTTCACATGATTTGTTTTAATAACTCTTCTTCATGGTAGATTTTTTCACTGCAATTCTCCTGTATCATTTTGCTTTTTTTTTGCCCTTGAGGCACAAAAATAATATTATTTTTTCACAGATCTTCCTGTTTAATCATCTTCTATGTCTGTGCAGTGTGATAAAGTTAAAAGCGCTTACCCCCACTTCTCTTGAATTTAGGGAGTTAAGGGAATTATTTTAGGGACCAAGCCTTGCTCTGAGTGGAAACAAGCCCAGCTCTGCACCTTAATTCCAGGTAAGGAGTGGTGACTCACCCTGGCATGAAGGGACAGGCAGGGCACATAGTGCAGCCTGTAGCTGTAAGGTTGTGCCATGGGAGCCCCAAATTCCTCTGTAAACAACCCAAAACATCTGTTGCTGGCTTCCCAGCAGATAAGGCACTTGTGTTTGAGCCTGAATTATTTGTGCTGGCTTCACCAGTCAAGCAAAAAAAGGGGCAAAAAAGGCTTTTCTTAATTAAAGCAGAATATGATGAGTGGCAAACCCAGTTCCTTCAGATGAAAGGGATGCTGAGGGATTGGGAGGCATCTGAGGAGGTGCATATGAAAGGGCTGTGAGGCTTCTGAGGAGCTGGTGATGAACACTAACAGCCAGGTATGGCTGCAAATTGAAGGGGAAAGGACCCTGCTCAGCTCAGAGCTGCTTCCCTGTCACCTTTTAGCATTATCCACATCCTTTGGTGGCACCAGCTCCTCCGAGGCTCCCCCAAACCTGCTGGTGGAGACCCACTCACTGGCAACTCTGTGGTTATTAACAAAAATGCCTTTTCTGTGCCATTATCTCACATCAGGAGTGGTGATAGGACCATACAACCATGGAATGGTTTGGGTTGAAAAGGACCTTAAAGCCCATCTCATTCCAGCCTCTGCCATGGGCAGGGACACCTTCCACTGTCCCAGGTTGCTCCAAGGCCCATCCAGCCTGGCCTTGGACACTTCCAGGGATCCAGGGGTAGCCACAGCTTCTCTGGGCAACCTGTGCCAGGGCCTCCCCACCCTCACAGGGAGGAATTTCTTCCTAATATCCAAACCAAACATACTCTCTTTCAGTTCAGAACCATTCCCCCTTGTCCCATCACTACATGTCCTCAGGAGGACAAAACTAACCACAGCTGCCCCTGGCAGTGACCTGCCCAGCCTTGGCAGCAGTCTCAACATCATCTCTATTGAACTATTAATCAAGGAATAAGGGAAAGAGAAGCTGAAGCTCCAGGCATCCAAGCATCCCCATGGATTTGGGAGCTTAAACCCCTGATTTGATATGTCTAATTATCAGGGAAAGAGTTAAAAGCACTGACAGTAATATATACATAATTACAGTCCAGGTTTAAGAGCTTATTGAGATGAAAAGGGCAGGTTGTGGCATTAAATGTCTCCTTTCACAGAGCCCACAGGTTCCAGGCAGGCATTAATTAATCTCCTTTTACTCTTGTTTCCCTTTAGCTGGAAAACATTACCTACAACCCCCAGTTCAATATGTCTTAGTAGGTCACTCAGCCCTTTTTCAGGAGGTGTTTTTGAGTCGGGTTTGCAGCTCTGGATTGAGTTCCTCCGGCACCTCCGGGAGGGCAGAGGAGGACAGGCAGGACCAGCCCTGGCACAGCACCACAAACCAGGTGATCTGCAGCCTTCCACTGATGGAGAAAGTCGTGGTCCTACCCCAACATCCTCCTAAAGAGAGCTGGAGAGGGGCTTTGGACAAGGGCATGGAGTGACAGGATGGGGGGAGTGGCTTCACGCTGCCAGAGGGGGTGTTTAGAGGACATATTAGGCAGAAATTCTTCCTTGTGAGGATGGTGAGGTTACCCAGAGAAGCTGATGGATATTTCTGTGTGGTGAAATCCTATTTGGCTGTTAAGGAAAACCCAAATTTGTGCCAGTTAAATTTAAGGTGATGGACTCTCCCTAACTCTCCTTCTGCTATTGTGCCAGGCTAGCATGGGAGGAGAAGGTGTATATATATGTATATATATATTTTTATATATATATAAATATAAATACAAGCTCAAAGATAAAGTATAAAACCATATTAATATGTAAAAATACATACATACATATATATATATAACATAAACTCATGTGCAGGTGGGCCTGGAAGGTATTTAGTAAGGACTGGTAGGAGCAGTGTGATTGCCCAGACTTTTGTTTCCTTGGAAAAATGGGCTGAAGCCCCCTGGCTTTGTAGCCTCTACCTTTTCCTTTTCCAGAAAATGTGTAAAATAAGATAATCTCACCTCTTTCTGAAGCCAGACAGCATTGTGTGCACTACTAAGATACTAAAACATTTTACCTTGAAATTGTTAAACTTTACTCTTTTTTTTACTTTTCCCAAGTCTGACAACCAGCAGCCAAGGGGAGCCTGGTTTCTCTGGCTCCCATGGAAGCAATATTTAACGTGTAATGCTTCTGCAGGCGCAGCTGGGGAGCAGCTGATGTGATGCTGTTAATAAAACCCCTGTTTCAGGAAGCAGCTTTCCCAGCAGCAGCTGAAGCAATCCCAGATAAAACAGTAGAATTGAGCAGACTCAATATTCACCTCCCTGGGGATCTGTGTGGGCTGTGGGATGCTCCAACCTGGGCTCTTTGAAAGCTCCCTCCTACATAAATCCCCTTTTATCCGTGTGCAACAGCTGCCCCCTCTGCCCGGCTTTTGGGGACTCCAAAGGCTTCAGCTTTGCACATGAAAGATTCTCCTGTCACTGCAGGGTTGAGGGGTGAGCGGCTCTTACCATTCCTTTAATTTCATTTTTAGGGGATTTTGTAGTGTTGCGGCTCCTACCTTCTCTGGGAAGTGTTCAGGTGGGCTTGTGCCCTTGCTTTGCCCGGCAGCAAACATCCCAGGGATGCTGGGCTCTGCAGTCACGTCTCTTTTTTAAAGAAATCTGGTGATTTTGAGTCAGCCCAGCTGGAGGTGCCTGAAAGAGCCATATCCCGGTGTGGTGAACGGGGTGACTTGAATGGAGCTTGATTCCCTCAGTGCCTGCAACGGCTTTTCCTTGGGGTGCAGTGAAAACACAGGAAAGGCACGTGGCTAAAGGGGCTCTGGCTATTTAGCATCTCCCCTGCACCCCTGTGCCCTCACCTCCTGTGGGAAAAGGCTCTCCTCACCTGCAATCTCATTCTCTTCCAGGTCGATGGTCTCCAGGGAGGGGACAGTGGCCAGGGGCTCGGGGAAGCGCCGGAACCTGTTTCGGGAGAGGTCGATGGCCCGGAGGTGCAGCAGGGAGGTGATTTCCTCGGGCAGGCGGTGCAGGTAGTTGCCTGCCAGGTTGAGTTCTGCCAAGAGAGGTGGTGGTGAAATAATTCATGAATAGCTTAATTTACAGCCTCTGTCCCCCTTGGGCTGCCAGGTCCAGCAGTGGGTCTCCAACTGCAAAAATGGGAATGTTTTGCTATTTCCCATGGTATGCCATTGTACTTTTGCCTGCTGGGAATGCCACTTTGAGGACGGATGTTTTTCTTGGCTTCCTCAGGCTTTGCTAATGAAACCTGTGCTGCATGATGCAAGCAGGGGATGTAGAAATGACGAATATTTCCTAGTAAAATCAGCACAATTAGCTCCCCAATGGACACTTGTCATGGCTTATCTTCATGTGCCTGAAACCCTCCTGAGGAATAAACAGAATGGTGGAAGAGTTCCTATACGTGAAAAATAACTCTGTAGAGTTCACTCTTCTGTGGTGTTTCCCTAGCAATGAGCTCCGATGGGGCCAGGAGCAGCACTCCCCCACCAAAGTCCATAAGCCATGGGAACAGAACCCAAACCCCAGTGTCCCAGCGCCCTTCTCCAGTGACACAGGGCTTTCTGCTCTATAAATACCCACAGGAGCTGCCCTGCCCCTGCTAATACCTGGTATTTATAGGTCCTGCCTTATTCAGGCTGTCCCTGGCCCTGAGGCATCTCTACCCAGCAACAGCCCTGCTGAGACCTGGCATGTTCATCTCTGGAGTGATCCCTTCGCTGGTGGAACAAAGCCCTTGCTGGGAAACCAAACTTTTTTTCCCTTCAGGGCTCGTTGTGCTGTCTAGCAAACAAAAATTGATTTCCTTTGCTCAACATGTTTCTTTTCCCCAGACTAGGGGAGCTCCAACTCCACAACAAGAGAAGCCTCCCCAGACACACACCACAGTGGCAGTTGTGTGGCGCATTGTGCAAGTGAAATAATTGATTTTATAAGCTGCCAGAGCAGCCCCAGTGCAGTTTCCAGTGTTTAGCATCATGGCACTGAGTGCTCTGAGTGCCTGTACAGCCATATTTTGGTGGATTAGCTTCTGGTTGCTTTCAGTGGGCTCCACAGGGATGTGTCCCCATGGCACTGATGATCATCCCCATTTCCTGCAGTGATTAACTCTCACTGATGTCTCACAAAAGGGACTAATTAACCACCCCCAAGCCAACATGCCTTCAGCAGTCTGGAATGCCCCATCTGTGCCATGCCTTGTTATCCACAGGAGCGACTTCAGCTCCCTCCAGCTCCTTGGAGGGAGCTGGAGGATGATGAATGACCCCCCCAGCAGCCTGGCCACTGCTGGAAGGTGTCACAACGTGAGTTTGGGAGGGTGGGTGTGAGCAAAACCAGTGCCCTCTTCCTGCAAGGGGTGGGAAAGGTAAGGAAAAATGGATTTTTGGGGGTCTGGATAAGTCTGCTTGGAATGAGGTGTGAGCACAGAGGAGTGAAAATTGCAGAGGGGAGACTCCCCAGTGCTGTGCCCCTGGGGATCTTTGAGGGTGCCAGGGTGTGGAAGTGGCCGTCCCTCACCTCTCAGCTGGCTGAAGGTGGTGACAAATCGGCTGGTGATGGACTTGAGCTCGTTGTTTGCCAGGGAGATGCGATGGATCCCCTCGGTGACGCTCCTCATGGCTTTGTAGATTCCAACAGGGAAGGTCATCAGCTTGCAGTTGGCCAGATCTGCCCTCGGAGAGAACCCTGGCACCTTGTAATGCACCCAGCTGGGACGGAGCCCTGCTTTCCACCTGCTTTTCCACCCCTTACTCCTCGATTTGCCCATCTAAGTGCTGTCCCCTGCCTACTCCTCTCCATTACAGGGATATTTGCAGCCACCTCTGCAAGCACCAGGAGTTTGATCCCAGCAGGAATGCCAGGGCTGTTCTGCCTTAGGCATTCAACCCTAAATCACATTGCAACTGCTTCCAGGCCACAATGTTTTTTTGGAAACCCTGGCCTGTCCATGTCTAATAACTTCAGTCATGCCTCTTCCCTGTGTCCCTAAACCCCTGGGGTTGATGGAGCAGGGCAGAGATGCAGCCTCCACGTCTGGTGGGGATGGAGCAGGGCTTTCCATGGGCACGCTCCTCACTGGTGATGGGTGTTTGTCCCATGGCAAGCAGTGAGAAAGGGAACAGGGTTTGGCTGTGCTTCTCACCTCTTGGCGATTTTGTTTTGCTCTGAGTTGTTTCTGCTTCCCTTCCTGGGAGGTGCTGGGGATGGAAACCTCGTATCCCGGCCCCGTGATGCTCAACCTGGGCTCTGCTTCCACCCCCTCCCCAGAGCCATGAGCTTGTTCCTCCCACACTTCCCTCGCTGGGGAGGATGTGGAGGGGCTGAGGGATGAAGCTCCAGCTCCCCAACTGACGTAGGCTGGTTTATATCCCAGCACCGGGAATCCAGCAGGAATGAGAGGCTTTCATCCCTCTCCTTTGATGAACTGCTCCGGGCACTTGGATATTAGCTGGAAACGAGGGGTGAAATTGCAGGAAAACACAGAAAACACAGATCTGACAAGGCAACGTGGAGAAACCCCTGCTCCTGCCACCGCCTGCAAGGAGGGACTGCATTCCTGAGACACGTCCCATGGGATTACGTGCCATGGCTGGGAACCTGCTCTAACTCTGGGGGGCTGAGAGCCCTTTAGGGGAGCCTTTCCCTCCTCCGGAGCCACGGGTGCAGTGCCCGTAGGGAATGCTCACAGCTTTTTTTAGACTGTGGCAGCAAAAAATAGAGCCCCGCTCCCGGATACCCGATCCTTCTCCGGGCCCCGAGCGGGAGCCGAGACGGAGCTCCGGCCTTACCCAGGGAATCCGTTTTGTTCTCCACCGTGTCGTTCACCTTCCTGGCCACACGGGCCACCGCCTCGCCCATCCTCTTCTGCATGTGGGCGCCCGGTCCCGCCGGGAACGCGCTCCGGGCGGGGGGATCCACGGCTGGAGGAGGAAACCAACCACTCCGGCCTCTCGGGAGAGGGATGCTAAAAATAACCCGCAGGATCAGTGTTCCCAGGGGAGGGAGGGGGGCTGTGCTGGGGCTGGCATGGCACTCAGGGATGTGATTCCCGGCTTTCCAGGATGGCACATTTGGGATATGGGGATGCATCCCCTTTGCTGGAACGGGACATAAGGATGCATCCCCTTCTCCTGGTTTGGGATATGGGGATGCATCTCCTTTCCTTGTCTGGGACATGGGGATGCATCCTATTCCCTGGTTTGGAATATGGGGATGCATCCCCTTTTCTGGAATGGGACATAAGGATGCATCCCCTTGCCCTGGTTTGGGATATGGGGATGCATCCCATCTCCTTGTTTGG